CATTACTCACAAATAGATGAAGATAACATATGAACAGTAAACTATCAACTACATAACAAAACTTTTGGCTGATTTGCTTTCCATGGCAACTAACCTTTCCCACCCACACACATTAATTTGCCGAAAGTACTAATTCTCCATGTAATTCAATATATTGTAAGATGTGCTGGAGTTACCGTCTCAGCGATGCAAACCGATCTCATCGCCGCCGGCTGCGTCCTCGTTGCCAATATGTTCATGCCACTCTGACTCTTACATCACGTGACAATAGATTATGACAAGGATGATGCAATTAGGTAGTATTACGTAATAATGTTGTGTACGACAATTCAATGTTCCTGACATCCTCCCCCCTTGACCACTATGTGGTCAACCAATCAGTCCTCTCAAAGTGCTTGAGCCATGGGCCTGCTCGAGCCCGAGCAGATGCAGCTCGTCTGGGGCGTCGTGTCATGGTAGACTCCTGTAATTCTTTATCACCAGGTATTCTGCAACACATTAATCACCTTGATTCTCTAGCCTGGTTCCGTTTTCGGCCTGGGTGCCTCCAGTGGGTATAGAGGTCGCTGCAACAGTTGGCCCTTCTACCCCTTGCAGCCACCTTGAGCACAGCTCCTCTGGTCTCTCCGTCTTTCCCAACCAGGACTTCTTTCACTCGGCCAAGTTTCCAAAAGGCTCTTGGCTGTTCTTTGGAATAAGACTACGTCATTTACTGAAACCTGTGAAGGGTTGGCATGTCCATGATGATAGCGATGCGACTCTCGTAGTTCGAAGGGGTATTCTTTCCTCCATTGTCCTCAAACCGGAAGTGTTGCATTGAGGTATCTTGCTCGGACCTCAGGTTCTATATTGTAGCTGTCTTGTAGCTTTGTTTACCATTCTAGTGGTGGATGCCCGGTGTCCAGCGCAGACACGTTTCTTGCGTGAGAGTTCTTCTGACATGGTGGGCATCAATTGGAGTACAACAACGCTCCCCGACCTGACTCCGATCATCTGAAAGGCTTCATCCAGGGACCTCCCTTTGGACGGCGGGTGGGATCATGAAATATCCTCGGGTCAATCCAGACTTCGGCCGGAGCAACCGCTACAGGCTGGCTGGCTATCTGTGTCAGTCCAATCTGACAGGGTTTCTCTTAGCGAACCTAGCACAACCGAAAAAGGATGTTTCTATCCAGCGCGAAGAGTTCAATCGGATTCAACTATAGATGAAATTTTGACAGGAAAATTGCTATGTGTCCCTTAGACTCAAGGAATTGTATGACCTTTGATTTTTTATTCTTGAAATCCTAACTCGTGCACTACTGAGCCCGTATGTGTTGATTCTTTCAAAACTTCTTTCATTCCTCAAGGTTGAATCACATTCACAAGGAAATTGCTGTGTCCCTTCGACTCAAGGAATTGTATGACATTCTTGAAATCCTCATGGTCCCTAAGTATTTCTTGCATAGCTGCCACACTACTGAGCCCGTATGTGTTGATTCTTGTTTCATTCCTTTAAGGGTACCGAGGTTGAAACACTTCTGTGATTTTCCAGCCAATATCGTGTCATGCATGACCGGCTGCTTTCAACCTGGGTTTATTATTTTTTGAAGCGTCAAGAGGTGCCATTGTCTTGTGACAACTACTCTGATCAAAAACCCATACTAGCTTCCATCCCTGGTCTTTAGGATCCTAACATCTGCGTTCTCATGAATATTTCACTTGTCCAATATCCTTCTCTGGATCCACCTTATTCAAGGACACAACGGGCCTCTTTCCATAGCATGTGATTTGTTGCTGATCCACATGCAAATTCATCATCTGAAAGTGCTAAATCAGTCCAACAATGTTGAACCCGAAACGGGTCTACCACAAAACTGACTTCCTCTTCAATCAGTTGAACGCTTTTCGGAAAAGGCAACAGAGCTGTTGAAAACAGATGGAGCTATTGTAAATGCCTAAGGGTACACTGCAGACAAAAACTAAAGCCATTCAGGAAAGAGGGCCCCGTCTTTTGACTCCCAAAAAGAAGGGAGATGGATATGTGTGTCTTGATGAGTGCCCACAGTACAAGTCTGCCAAGCTGTGTTCATATACCTTAGCGAATGGCAGTCTCAACAGCTTCATTTCTTCCTTTGCCAGAGTAAAGAGGGCACCAAATTTAACAAACCTAGCAACAACTGGCATGCCTAAAGGACGGGGTTGCAAAGGAATAATGGCTCCTTCAAAACGTAGACCACTGACCATCTGTCTCTGTATGTCTGTTCCTAGAGCAACAAAGTACTTAAGTTTGGCATCATAACACTTCATGTCGTCATGGTTTCTGTACAACGACCCTATAATTATACTTTTCAATGGTCACTCTTTCATACCTAGTAGTCACTGCAGTCCTACCCACACCCGGCGCCAGAGGGAGGGTGTGTATTGGAAGTGTACCTATAGCTACAGTGAGACGCAGACGACTTCCAGAGCCCTCAGAACGGCAGACTGTCTGTGACTGGAATTTCTGGAACTGGGCGCACCCTTTACTGGGAAAATACCTGAGCGCAGTAGAGGATTCACGTAAAAAAACAGTAAGAAGACAGCACAAACCAATCATATTCCATGCGACAACCGAAAAAGCGTTGGTGATTTACGTGACGTGGCAAAATCCTGCAATCTGATTAGTCTTGCAAGAATTCCTGCAATATAGAAGCAGTGGATGTAAGGCAATCCACCAGGCCTCCTCTGGTGCGTGGATTGAGAGGGTGTTGTCCCGCGAGGCTAGCAACAATATAGGGTTTGTGTGATGGGGTTGTGGGTGTCAGCAAGCTCAAATCGTTTCGTTCACGTGTCCCATCCCTATCTTGTCTCCCTTTCTTTCCATACGCCTCTTCTTTTAATTCGCAGGATACTTGGTCTATGTTGCATTGTGCTGTTTGCAGGACAGTCATAAAGCAAACTTACAACCAAACTTTACTTACAAGAATTTTGACAAGGATAACACCCCCATGACCCTAGAATAGGCTCGGTCCTAAGTTTAGTCTAACAGCTTGCTCTAGATGAAACATTACATTTAATTAATGCTCGGTCCTAAGTTTAGTCTAACAGCTTGCTCTAGATGATGGCCCTATTTTACTGCGTAAATATCCAACTTGTCTAATGCTTTTGTAGAATTCTGTTTCAGCTGTTGTTGGTAATCCCGAATCTATGGTGCTACCAAGTGCCATGCACTCTGATAAAGAAAAGTTTCCTCAAGTAGGTCAGTATCACTAGACTATCAGTAGTGTCTGTAGTTTTGAAAATCTGCCCGCGTCTACAGAAGAATGTATGGAGACGAAGACGCCGATATACTGCCTTACCCCGTGACATCTTGAAGTCATTTTTAAGCTTCTAGCTAGTACGAGTAAATTTAAAATCCTGCGAATTTAAAAATAGGCATATAGGGATGGTATGAAAAGAACGGGAGACAAAACAGGGATAGGATACATTAAACGTGCTTAACAGACAGATTTGAGCAAGCTGCGACCCCATCACACAATCCCTATATTGTTGCCTGGTGTGATACTCATAAACTCTTTTTGGACTCTAAAACGATGTTTCAGTTCTACCCTTCAATCACTTGGTTGGGTTCGGAAGCCATGAATGCATTTGATACATAGGTATAACTATCACTATGTACTCCATGTAGTCGTCATGGAAAAGTTGTCTTGGAAATGATATAATCCGCATGTGTACCAAATTTCATCTCTATGCGTAGTAGTACCGTTGGAAGTGTTACCTCTTGAAACCAGCGGATATTTTTTAACACCAACAGCAATTGAAGCGTAGTACATACAAGTCAGTTTACACTGTACTGTACAGCTTTGTACTAGTAGGTACGCTGTGATCTATAGATCTTTGGAAAACAGCTTTAGGGTAACAAAAAGCAGATTCGAGGCCTAGGAGAGGCTGTCTGCCTTGTGTTGGCTTCGATAAAAAATTATCTGCTGCATTCAAAACCGAATATAGCCAGGAAGGTAGGGGTTCGTTGATATCTGGAGTCTACTTACCAAGACATTTCAAGACATTTCAAATGATCTGTATACCTTGTAGGTTGTTGCGATTGTGCTTATGGTTATGTCATGTCTACATAAGAGATTAGAAGATGACGTAGGCAATTCACGTGATAAAGCAGGTCTATGGAGCAACTCCATACGAATTCTGGACTCAGATAACATTTACAGCAGTGTTGTTGTACGTATATTTCCTTGTCTCCTACAGTAGTACGGGATGACAAGGTCCCTCAGCATTATGTCCATCCGTTTGTAAATAGATTTGGATTTAAGAAATCAGTGTAATGCAGAAGGTACAAATGCACATGTACCTAAAATATAGGTTATTAGTCAGTGGGAAAGTTCATTTTCAGAATTCTTCTTCTCGTCATGTTCAGTTTCGACAGGCATATTTCAAAAACCATGGTAGAGCATAATTAGAGATGAAACTTTTTACACTGATGGATTCAATTTCCCAGTTTGGAATGGCATATTGATAACAATATTGTTTACATGTAAACAACAAATAACAAAAAAAATAGCACCAGGCAATACATTATGATAGAGACGAATAAACTAGTTGTGTTATAGAAGGGAAGAAGTAATTTTACAGATATGTAAGTGCATATTCTACAAACATGTAATTGTCATGGAGATAATGTAATACACGTGTTACCTTTAAAAAATAGTCCGTAGGCCTATTTGCTGTTCATTACAAACATGTAATAAAATTAACTAAAATGTTATAATGGCTGTTTAAAGCCATTGTTTACGTAATTATGACCATGTGTTATCTACATTAAGTACTACCTCTTAATAGTTGCCGACCTCTGAGCATGCACTGTGGGTATGTTATTAACATCAACTCAGAGTCTCATTGTCTTGCTACATGGCCACTTTGTTGCTTGATGTGGCAGAAACGTGGCAACAGGCAGATTGACAGATATACTGACACAAACCAAGTGCTGTAGCACTCACACTGAGGGTTAACACTATGGGCGCCGCACTCCACTTAAATGGCGCGCGCGTAATTGCTCCAGATGGGCGTATTACGCAGATGGGCATGGCAATATTCCGCGCATGCGTAATTCCGCGTACTACCACAATACCACGCGGCGCGCAAAGTGTTAAGAAATGGGATATGCTTCAATAACCAATGCATTGACGTTACCAAGACGGGCGATTTTTGTGAAAGCCTGGCTCTTTAATGAAGGAAATGGGAAGCTTAGTGGAGAGAATGGAAAACACCAACCTGAAGTGTATAATGCCTAATTGGCTTTCAAATACGGTTAAATTTTCTGCCGTAAGACACAGGATATGACATTATCTGTAGTATATTATTTGAAATATTTGCCGTGCACACCAATAAAGGTGCAAAGTGAAAAACAGAAAAAGAGAGGAAAATTATAGAGTGGCAGCCATAAGAACAGCATAAGGATCTAGTATAATTAGGCAGTAGTATAAAGGCAGCACAGAGCAGACCAGTGGCCAGCTGGACTCTTTCCCATCGCCAACCAGGGCTTACTGGCTCCTGGACTGGCCAGTGGTCTACTCAGTAGTAAAATGGAATCATAATCATTCAGCATGTATGGTAGATTCTAAAGGGGAATTAAAACCAAAACACTGACGAATATCGCCATTAAGAGATGCATAAATAGTATCATTGTCAGATTAAAAATACATGAAATTATAGCCTGTAAAAGTGAATGCAAGAGATGAAGAGGTAGAAAAACAGCTTTGAAGAAGACATAGCAGATGAGTACTGGGAGTCGTATAGCAGGAGACAATGACGAATAGTGCTGTGAGATTGCCGTGGCAACTTACAGATTCTACGTAGTAAATGATTGATCGCAACTTGAATAATATCTAAATCAGGTGAGGAGAGGGACCAGGGACTGGAACCATACAGAGACAGACAAAACAATTTCATAAGAAAACACTTTACAGAAGGATGCACGCACTTGAACGTGCTCAATTAATAGTTAAGAGTTAATGCATTGCAATAGAGGATTTCAGTGGTAATCAACGAGATGTGGTAAAAAGTGGTATCCACTGTATTAGGTCGGCCTCGTACTCGTCCTCAACGTGAACGGTGTGAGTGGCACTACCACCTTGGTGGAGTCAGACACTGTAGAGTTCCTCTCGGTGCTGAGCTTAAAGAAGTTTTAGAGGTAATTACATATTCGTAAAGTGCTAACGTCTATATGACTTCACTTGAGCCCTCGAAAATTTGTCATAACATTAATTTAGTTTTACAACCAATTGTAAAAAAACGCTAGAGTCCATGCAACTTCCCCATTCTGGTGATATGCTTCACTATGTTCTAGTTCCTTAGAAGTTAGCTGTTACCACATAAGACAAGTATGCCATAAGTAAAGTGCGAAGTACCTGTTCAGTTTACACAGCCACTTCAGGGGTTCAGGTAAATACAAATAGACTATAATTAATCCTACTGACACTAGTCGGAAAAACCTTTTTAGGCAAAACGTGGCAAAAGGACAAAAAGTAGGCAATGGCAATGGCTGGTTTAGAGGAATGAAAATTAAAATCCAAAGTAACTAAGAGAGAAAAGTAGGAGGCAGGAATGAAAATGAAATTGCAAGGTAGCTAGGTTTAAAGGTCAACATGCAATAGAAATAAAAATCGTTAATATAGATAAATTTTAAAAAACATAAAGTAGTGGAAGAAATGAAAGGATGGAAGAAAAATTCTATGCAAACAGCGATATACAGGTGGATGGGTACCGCATTTCCTGTTGAGGCTGGAATGTCTCTGTGTGTGCCAAACCAGCCATTGCCTACTTTTTGTACTTTTGCCACTGACGAGGACTGCAGAGCAGTCGAAACGTTTGTCTATAAAGGTTTTTCCAAGTAATGTTGGTAGAATTTATTCCTAGAGCATGCAGTGCCCTAGTCAACCAAGTATACTTACAATTATCTAGACTATAATAATATGTTCCACTATGTTTACATCACCTTGTTTTCAACTACAGGTGGCTTATGTAAGTCGTGTTATGTCAAAGAATTTCAGAAAGGAAGGCCAACCAGAGAAGGAAAGACTTGCTAAAATAACAGGAATGGATATTGACAAAGTTAGTTACATAGTAGGAGGGTGAGATTGATAAATTTTCAATGGATATGGCATGAACCAAAGCGTATATGTGTATAACAAAAATTGTTGCATTAGGTTCAAGAATGGTTTAAAAACCGCCGTAAAAAAGATAGACTGTTACAGGAAAGAGCAATGGGAAGAAATCTACCCAAGTGCCACCGCAGTCGCAAGTCTACCACATCTGAAACTACTGTGACAGAGCCAAACATTATGCCTCTATGAATGCATGTTTGCTTTTGGTGAGCGTAGAAGAGTTCTACATTTTGTTATATCTTTTCCTCTGTCACTCTATCTAAGTGGAAATATCAAATAAAGTGGGATATAGGGATGGCTTGAAGCACCAAGAATAAAGAAACAAGAGTCATTACACAAGATGCACAAAGCTACATGACACCATCCTTATACCTTTGGGTGCCTTTGACCCCTTGTTTCTTCCATTTTGGTTCTTATCCCCGTTCATTTTTAATAGACAGCTATCACAACTCCGTTATTATTGTCACTCTGCTTTGGGCAGGACGAGTGGCAACACCCTCCTCTGACCCAAGCATGGTGTGGGTAATTAGAGGGGAGGGTCCATGTGTACGCATGGCGATCAGGATGGCATTTGGTACTACCACCAGGCAGATGAGATTGGACACGGTCACGTGATCCAGCATGTAATTAAATTCCATCTTTCCGTGCCATACAAAGGCGTTTTTTTCCCTAAAGGGATATGGCTGAAACTCTGAGAACTCGTTGGTGTTGGTCAAAGGTTTCATTTTCGATACTCCTCTTCCTCCAGTGTCGCGAGAAGCGGTGAACAAGAATATAGCTGTCAAAGAGAAACTTCCCTTGGGTCACTCATTGGAGCGATTTAAGTCACCATTCACACGCATTACACATGGGATCGATTTACGTCGAACACACCATAAGTCACCCATGGGAACATTTTAATGCGTAGACAACATTGACATAAATGGCTGGGATAGGAAATAATAACTTTTAATGGGTCGTTTATATCGCAGTTTTTGGTTCGCCAATGATACAATGGAGTTGTGTGGGATGGGTTGCTGTTGTCAGCATGTGGCTCTTCTTAGGCACAGAGCGATGGGCTGTCTCACTTTAGCAATGTCAAGTACATTCGCATAGTGATTATAACAACTGGTCAATCATTGAACATTGAATTGTCATCGCTGCTCCACATGCCAATGCACAGTAGAAACGTAGAGCAGTTAGAAAAATGTGTGCATGCACAACAATATTGCAAATACGCAGAAAAATCGTGAGGCAGTGAAAATAAACTAATACCCAGCGTGGAGTGGTGACAATAACGTGCGCAAACACAGAAAATCGTGTTCATGCGCAGAAAAAACTGCACAAATACAGAAAAATGTGCGCATGCGAAGAAAAAATGTACAAATACGCAGCGTGGAGAAATATGCGCAAGCGAACAAAAACTTGCACATCCACATACCAGTGGTAAAGCCTTGTGGATGGGTCAGAACCACAAGTGCTGCGCTCCTGGTAATAACCTCGTGATGCCAGAGAGAGAAGTTATGGTATGCTCTTCTGATGAGAGCCAACAAGCCCGAAACAGCTGTCAAGAGCTCCGCATCTTTCTCTTGGCATCACATGGTCTAATACCTTCATGTGGATGCACTGGGAGGATATGGGTGCTTGCTGGCTTCATTGCCGCAGCCCAATCCGCATGCCAAGATTGCGAGTTCGAGTTTTGGCTCGGTACTGGCCTTGACCAGCAGGAGTGGGGAGGGGCCTAGGCTCCAAACCACGAATGTCTGGGGTGGTCAGCACATACCAGTGGTAAAGCCTTCTGCACATCTAGAAAGAATGCATATGTCTCCTTCCCCTCCTTTAGTCTACCCTGCACGAGTTCATTCAGTGTATAAATATTATCAACACACCCCCTTCGAACCCTAAAACCAGCCTGGCCCTCATGCAATGCCTTGCCCTCGTCCAGATGCTTCACCAACCTATTGTTCAATACCTTACAAAAGACCTTCCCAACCACACTCAGCAGAGTGATGCCCCTATAATTCCCAGGATCCTCCTTATCTCCCTTCTTTCAGGTTAACTATGAGGCCCTCCCTCCACTGTGGTGGCACCAGTACTCACAAAGTACTCACACCAAATTACTGCAAACAACTGTTTAAGTAACTCTACCATCCCTGACCCACCATGCTTTAGAAGCTTCCCCACAAGCCCATCACTACCACCAGTCTTTTCATTCTTCAACTTTCTAACACACAATGCCTCCAAATCTATTTCCCTATCCAACACATTTCCCACACAATCTGTTGGAAAATCACACACTTTCTTATCCACTTCCTCTTTCCAACTATCATCAAAGGCTGTACACTACAAGTGCCCAACTGCTGGTAATGCCTCTTTAACACCTCTAGCTTGCCCTTTGTACTAATCACTGATACCCCAGCACTATTCCTCAAAGCTGTAATCCCCCTCCTCTTACCCTTTGTCCTTCTACCAACAAATACCCAAAATTCTTTCCTATTACCTTCAAAATCTGAATTTGCTCTTTCCACTACCTCATTCCAAACCTCAAGCTTCTTCTGAACAACTGAATTCTTCGCAGTTTACTATATTCCTCCCATAGATAATCCTGACCCTCAAGAATTTTCTCCCTTCTCTGCTCTATCTTCTGCTTAATCTCGTCATCCCACCACCTGACTGCCCTGCCACACACTACTACCTTCTCTCCTACGCCACCTTTTTTACAACCTTCTCCCACTCCTCTACAACTGCACTGACTAACTCACTTCCGCTAATACCCTCACTCACTTTCTCTCTGATGCTCTCTGAAAATGATTCAACCTCTGCTTTCAAGGTCATACTTTGCTCTAACCCCCTCATCTCAAAATCTGTCTACACGCCACTTCCTTATTGTCCGTCCACTTCTGCCTTTTACAACACTTTGTAACCCGGCCCAACTCCTGCCACACTAGAAAATGATCCGAGGCACCAATATCAGTTATATTAACCTGTACACAGATTCCCTCATCAACTGCATATCCGTAACTATCACTGATTTCTGGTGGAAGCTCGGCCTTACTCTAGTCCACTCAGGCTCCGAAACTAACTTCCTACTATTACATATCACCAGCTCCACCTCATTCAAGAATGAAATCAGCCTATTTCCACTGGCATTACAAGTCTCCTCCCCAAACATCCCAATGACATCATCAACATCAGTAGATCTACCCACCCTCGCATTAAAATCACCAAGAACAACCCTCCCCTTCTGCATGAATCCAAGCACATCCTCCTTCAACTTGACGTAACTATCCTCAATAACAGAAGCACAAGCACTATCTGTAGGCAGTACACATACAATGCTTCCCTCCCTCTCCCACCTCGAACCTTCAGCCACACGCGCTCTCTTCATACCTAACTTTACTTACAAACTCTACCTCGTCTATCAAGCACTCCCGAACCAAGAACCCAACCCCTCCTTCCCCTCTACGACTACTCTGATTCTCACGAGGCTTTCCAAACCATCTATAGCCATCAACAGCAACTGCCTTTCCCTCCCTCTCCCATGATTCCTGACCAGCTACTACATCAATCTTGAGCTTTGCAAAAGCTCCCCTACCTCTCTCTGTTTACGCTCACTACAAAGGCCTGAAAAATTCCATGTAGCGACTCTTAACCTTCTGTCCTTTTTGCCTTTGCCACTCATCCTCTCACTAACAACTGAAAGATTCACTTCACTGCCTTCATGCACACCAGCTACACACTATCAGCTAGCTGAGAAAACCTATTAACTCATTGCGCGCGGCGGATCTATATATAGAACACGATCGGCATAGATGCGCACTTCTCTCTTCGTCCTAGTTACCGTCGCTACTCAACATAGACCTTGCTACACCTTTGACCTTTGAGTGGGCGCACAGTTTGCGCATGTTCAAAATAAGATCTGCCATGGAAACGTGGCCTCCCTGCGGCTCTAAGATGAGACTTGGCTTTCTAACACACGAATAAAGAATCTGGGCTTCGCCTGCGCGCCTATAAACACGCAAACAAAACGGCACGCGCGAAACCACGCGTACGCGTTAATTACGCGCATGCGCATTACGCGCGC